GACAAGAAACAAGAGACACAAAGAATGTCCCTGCTCCTCTGGTCTTACCGGCTTATAAAAACCCAGCTCCTCCAGGACAGATTTCAGCTCCTGCCACCGATGTTTCAGGAAAAGACTCTTATCCCAGGTTAGATGGCAAGGAATCTTCGTTGGGGGCTTCAGAGCTGTGGAAATACCCACACAGGAGCTCACTCTCTGCATACTCACGTGCCTATTAAATTTCACTCTCTGCCAAATTTAGGCCTCACGGAGTTTTAAAGAGGAGGCTCAACAGATGACTGGGAAGCAGCTTCTCCCTCCACACCTGTGGCCCGTTTCTGTGGAAACACCTCTCTGCAGTGCTCCCTTACCCGTTTCCTTCTGGACAGTGCGGGGTTTGCCCACATGAGTGATTGGCTCTCGGTCCCCACGTTCTGTCCGAGTCAGTGTCAGCGTCAGGCCGGTGAGTTCATCTCCAATACGGTCAGGCTGGCTCCAGAACTCGCTTCCTACTCGGAATCCCTGCGGTGGAAAACAAGGCTCCCACTGATACAGAGTTGCACAGCTACCTGCTATTTTCATAGGGACTAGAAAGGATCTGATCCTGCCTATATGAACATTTTAATAGTCTATGAATTATCCCTTTCTGCAGAGCAAGCCAAAATTTCTATCAGGCTGCTGTCAAAGACAAAAGAACTTTCTTCTACCTAGTGCTACGTGAAGGTTGAACGATATTAAAATAAAGCTTCACACAAATGCAAATTCTTTGACAGTGCTCTAAATGTAAAAAAAATTATTTTAACACAGGATCCTCCCATAATCCTCCTGCCTTGCCCATACCCCTTTCTCCATGGCAATCACTAAAATCCAAGCCTGAATCAATCAGATCTCTCTGCCCCCTGGAACAGCAATTGTGACATATTCCCATGTCACTTCCCTGGGCAGGACAGTCTTTGTTGAGAGTCCAGAAATGGCACTTGCTCATCCCCACTTTCCTCTGGGTAGTATGGATAGCACAGTTCCTGGTTTTATTTTTAAAATCCCTGAAAGCTCTGCTCACACACCAGGCTGAAGGACTCAAGAGTGGCTTTGATAAATACCTACTGACAGCTCTTCAGGGATGTTACTCATCACACCAGTCTCTGTGCTGTTTCACAAGAGCAGCACATTCAGGACAGACAGGATGTGGGGCTCTCACCTTTCCAGGATGGAGGTAGGGGAGACTCCGGTCAATGAGGTCCCTTTCTTCCATAACTTGCCTGTAATTCTCCGCGATGTTCATCATCAATTCATTCTCTGGCTTCTGAAGAATTTCTGTAAAGAGGAAATGTCGCATCATCGGTGCTGCACCTCTGGGCACACCCTTTGACACTATTGTTGTTCACCCGTAACCCATTTACACTGGCCCCTGCCAAATCCACTGTCCTTGCCCCAGCCAGAGCCACCAGCTCACCCTCCCACCACATCCACAGCCACTAGCACGTGTGGGACCTCTGAGAACATGGAATTAGACTGCAGTGGCAATAGGATTAACCCTGGTAGGTGATAACCACTGCAGTTTGGTGTGGGGACATCAAACTCCCCCACCTACATACAGAATTTTACAGAAGGAGGCCTCTGCAGCTATATCTCACCTCCTAGGTGTTTCTCCTGCTTTTTCCTGATTGCCATATGATGGCTCCAGTTCTGGAGAGCTCTGTGCCCTGCTAGTTGGGCCTGAGGAGCCTTTTGCTTCTTCTCTCCTCCATGTTTCTCTTTCAAAGCTGCTGCAGTAACATCCGGACGAGAAACCTCAATAACATCTGCTGTCTGATGAGAAAGGAAGCACTGAATGAACCTCTTCATGCACACCAAAACAAGAATGGGAGAGGGCAGGAAAAAAGAGTTATTCTGATGGACTGTACTTTTACATTAGCACTCTGAGAGGAACAAAAGCAGGGCAGTAGGAACACACTCAAGAGACAACGGAAGGATTTATCTGAGTAATTAGACTCCAGCAATGCCATTGCTGCAACACCAGCTCTTCCCTGATGCCAACACAAGAGCACAGAGGGAAGAGGAAGCCTGTGTAATTGTTCCCTCCATGACCTGGTCCTGCACACAGCACTCCAAAACCTGCTGGTGCAGTTTCTCTGATGGCAAACCCTCCCTGCAGAGTGTGAAGAGGCTGGGAAAACCACACCTCAGCCCTGACCTGCTCCTGATAGGTGCTGGAAAGCATCGAAAGGTACTGCTGGCACCACGCTCCACCTCTGGAAAAGTGCCACATAGCAGCATTTTCCTAACTTTACAAACTAACCCGAGTGCTTCTTCTGGCCCAGACTTCCATCTTAAACTCCTGGACACTTCCCAAAATGTGATGAGGGAGAATCTCTTCGCAGCCATCAGCAAACTCTTTTGGTCCTACAACACACACACACAAAAAAATACCCAGCCCCAGAGCCAGGTCACTAAAGTTTGGCTTAGCAAAACCAAAACCCAGAGATAAGATGTGAAGTTGAACCCTACCAGGAAAAGTCAGTGGTTGCCTGGGTGCCTTGGGGGAAGCGGGATGTGCTACAAGATGTGTCACCTCCTTGGGTAGGTATTTTCGAACGAGGTAATTCTTCCTAACTGGAATTCTCCCAGCATCATGGGGAAGGCGTGGAGGATGAACCTGCAGGAAATAAACAGTAACAGTGCAGTTAGGTACACACTGACTCACCTTTAATCCATCTGATGCTTTTAGGATATTCAAAGGTCATATCAGTACAGTTACTGTAAGAGACCTGGAAAGGGACTTTTCACAAGAGCCTGGAGTGACATGACAAGGTGGAATGGATTCAAACTAAAAGCATAGGTTTAGATTAGATATCAGGAAGAAATCCTTCCCTGTGAGGGTGGTGAGGCCCTGGCACAGGTTGCCCAGAGAAGCTGTGGCTGCCCCATCCCTGGAAGTGTGCAAGACCAGGTTGGACGGGGCTTGGAGCAAACTGGGATAGTGGGAAGGTGTCCCTGCCCATGGCAGGTGGGTGGAATGAGATGATCTTTAAGGTCCCTGACAACTCAAACCATTCTATGATTCTCTGATTCCTCCCCTATGAGGCACGTTATGCAGCTGCAGAGACACCAGCTCAGTTGCTGTCTCATTCCTCTGAACTCTGGTTTATAAAAGGCGCAGGGAAAGGAGAGTTTTAAATCACTTTCCCAAGAGATTTCTGCTGCTGTGTCACTCGATGTCAAATGCTTCCACTCACACACTGTGACTCAAGTTTTGGAAGGAAAGCCATGAAAGCTAGTAAACAACTTACAGGTCTTATGAGACCATGAAGTTGGAGAGGCAGATGATTTATCCTTCCAGTTGAAAGTACTGTGTAAAGACTGATAATTCTTTATTTTTTGCCATTGCACCTAATGATGTGGCATTTTATCATGATAAAGAGCACGACAGACAAAATGGAGTAAGAACTCAACTGCAAGAGTGAGTTTTGGCTTATGTAAATGGGCTGCACCCTCTGTTAAACACATAAAAAGAGTGTGTCAGTTAAGGCAGCTTTTTCGCCCAGTGGAAATACATACTTTCTCCAGGTCCTCCACCTTAATTGCAAGTGCCTGGATATCCTCTCCTTGCAGAACATTCGGATCAGGCTTGGGCTCAGGCTCAGGCTCGGGCTCAGGCTCTTCTGAAATTGCTGAACTGGGCCTTTCAGAGGTCTTTTCCTTCTTGCCTGAAAAATACATGAAGAGACCTCCTCTTCAGTCTCCCGAGGAAACACCACCTTCCTCTTTCAGCCTGGTTAATCATTTCCAGCTGACCACGTTACATTTTGGTTTTGTGTTGGGTTTTTTTTTTAAGCTTTCACAGAACAACTGAATTCAGCATCTTTTGTAATTGGAAAAATCAAACTCTCAGAAGCAGCAAGGACCAAAGTGGGTCAAGCAGGATTCAACTGTCTCACCCTTTATTCCAGATGAGATAAATACAGATAAACAGAGCTCCCTGCAGGAGGAACAACAAATTCCTGGGAAGCTTCCTGCTCCAGCTGCTAGCGCAAGGATACAGCCTCCCTGCAGTCACCCAGCACAACAAACCACTGGATTTCCAGAAGCTCCTGAATAGCAAAACAGCTCTGAAATAGCCAAACCCGGGCAGAGCCGGGCCGGGCCAAGCCGAGGGGGCTGTTCCTCCACCTTAACCTGCGCGTCCCTCCCGCTGGGACCGGCTCATTTAAAAAAACCAAGCTATAAGAATAACGACACGGGGGTCCCTGGGTGGGAAGGGGCTGTTTGTGGCGGCTCCACTCCCGGCCTCGCTGAGGCCGCAGGCCCGGCCCGGCCGCCGCTGCCCAGGCGCGCTCCGCGCCGGCCGTACCCGGGGGGCTCCGGTTCTGGGGCCGACTGCCTCGCTGCGACGCCATGTCCCGCCGACCCGCCGACCCCCCGACCCCGGCGCCGACCCCCCGACCCCGGCACCGACCCCGGCCCCGACAGGCCCCGCGGGTCGCGACAGGCCCCGACAGGGCCCCCGCGAGGCACCGCCCCCTGCCGGGGCACCGCGGCACCGCCCCGCGCGCCCCCTGCCGGCACGCATGCGCCGTGCGGCCGCGGCACGGCCGGGACACACCGGGACACACTGGGATACAGGGACTGCGGAATACACTGGGACGCCAGGATACACCGGGACATACCAGGATACCGGGACTGTGGGACAGTGGGACACCAGGATACACCAGGACATACCAGGATACTGGGACACCCAGATACACTGGGAGATGCCAGGATACATGGACACCGGGTCTCCAGGATAGTGGGGCACCGGGACTCAGGGACACGGAGACACTGGGGCTCTGGGACACTGGGAGACTAGGGGAACCAGGACATCAGGCTCCAGGACACCAGGGACACCAGGGCTCCGGGACACCAGGCACTGGGACATCGGGGTGCTAGACCACCAAGGACAGTAGGACCTGCCCTGCGGGAAACCCCCTGGATGATGCCAGTGCCCCAAGACCCCTCAGCCAGCACACAGCTCTTATGTTTTATTATCCGTTGTGGCCACTCACAGACCCCACGTTCTGGCCACTGTGTCCGTCTGTGTCCATCCCCCGCCGGGTTCCCCCTCGGTGGGCACCGGGCAGTGCCCAGCGCCGCTGGAGCTGGCACAGCAGGTCGGGCAGCAGCGAGTCCAGCACGGCCAGGCCGGCCCAGGTGCACCGCAGACCACTGGGGGAGAGGGGTGGTGAGCTACAGGGCACCGGGGGAGACCCCCCTGCTCTCCACATGGTTCCCAGGGCTCACCTGCCATCCAGAAGCAGCCAGCCCTGATCCTGCAGCACCTGAGCCTCCCCCGGCACCCCGAACACGGCCTGCAGGCTGAGCTGGGGGGAGAAGTGCCCCCAGCGCTGTATGCCCAGGGCAAGAGAGGGGCATTAGTGATGGGGCATCAGTGATGGGTCACTAGTGATGGGGCATCAGCATCCCAGTGCCCAGAGGGGTCTTCAGTAGAGCTGGAGAGGGACTTTGGACAAGGGCCTGGAGTGACAGGACAAGGGGGAATGGATTCAAACTGGAGGGTAGTTTTACTTTAGATATTAGGAAGAAATTCTTCCCTGTGAGGCCCTGGCACAGGTTGCCCAGAGAAGCTGTGGCTGCCCCATCCCTGGAAGTGCTCAAAGCCAGGTTGGATGGGTCTTGGAGCAACTTGGTGTTGTGGAAGGTGTCTCTTCCCGTGGCAGGGGGTGGAATAAGATGGTCTTTAAGGTCCCTCCCAACCCAAACCATTCCATGATTCTATGATTAGTGGTAGGTTGATGTGGGGGACCTCCATGGGTGGCTCCTCACCTCGTGTGTGACACCCTCATCTGTGCGTAGTCCCAGGGTGAGCACCTCCTCCAGCCTGGAGACACAGAAAGCTGTGGGGCAGCACAGATGGGGAGGGAGCATGGGGGGACCCTGGTACTCACTGCTCCAGCGGGCTCAGCACCACCCGACTCCTGGTGCCATGTCCCTGGCTCTGCACTTCCCGCATCCAGGCAACAGGCTCCGGTGTCTGGACACGGGCTTCCCGGCTGCAGCTGCCCTCACCCCGTGGCACGAAGCGCCCGTGAGCTCCTGCAGCAGTGAGGGAGGGGGACAACGGAGTTCAGGGGGCACATGGCCACACACACACACCCCCGGCTCCCCGTCACCCCCTTACCTGGCCCCACACCGATGTACTGGTCAGCCCGCCAGTACGAGAGGTTGTGGTTGCTGAGGGCACCCTGGGGGGAGAGTGTGGCATGGGGTGAGATGGGGCCAAGCCTGCTTGGGGAGCAGCATGGCATGGGGGGGACATGGCATGGGGGGCACATAGCATGGGGGGTACCCTACCTTGCGGGCAAAATTGGACACCTCATAGTGGCGGAAGCCGGCGGCCACCAGCACAGTGTGGGCTGTCTGGTACATGTCTGCCAGCAGGTCCTGGGGGGGCAAGGGCAGGGTCCCCCCTCGGACCTGTGCTGCCAGTGCCGTGCCTCGCTCCAGTGTCAGCTGGTACAGGGAGATGTGGTCGTCGCAGAGCCCCAGCGCTGCCTCCAGCCCCTGGGCCCAGGCGTCCCGGCTCTGCCCCGGCAGCCCAAACATGAGGTCGATGGAGGTGCGGCCGGGGAAGAGCCCCCGTGCTGCCTCCACGGCCTTCTGCGCCTCCACCGCCGTGTGCTCCCGGCCCAGCAGCCGCAGCTCGGCGTCGTCCAGTGACTGCGGAAAGAGTGTGGTGACAGCGGTGTGACGGGGGCTGCAGGGCCGCGAGGGAAGCCCCTCTCACCTGGACGCCAATGGAGAGGCGGTTGACACCGGCTGCCCTGAAGCCAGTGAGCCGTGATGTGTCCATGGAGCTGGGGTTGGCCTCCAGAGTGACCTCAGCACTGCTGGGCAGATGGGCAGCCCCCGCCACGGCCTCCAGCACCGCTGCGATGGTGCGAGGGCTGGCCAGGCTGGGGGTGCCGCCACCAAAGAACACAGAGGTGATGCTGTAGGGCAGAGGTGGGGAGTTGCAGGTGGGCACTGGAGGGCCCCATACCCTGCCATGAGCCCCTCTGTGCACCCACCTGTGCACCTGGCTGAGGCGCAGCAGGGTGTGTGCCTCCCGCACCAGGCAGGCACGCACAGCTGCCTCATCCACCGCCGGCACCACGTACGTGTTGAAGTTGCAGTAGGAGCAGCGCTTACGGCAGTAGGGCCACTATGAGCACAGGGGGTGTGGGGGACGGCCATGCCCCCACCCCCAGGCACCCCATTTTGAGGGGGGACAGCCCTAGCCCAGTGCCCCTGACAAGGCAGCACATGACCCACAGGTGTGACCCTTCAGGTGCACGGCTCAGGGACCCCCGCAGCAACCTGCACCAGGGCATGGCTGGGGAGCCCCACCTGTGCCCCATGACATTGCAAGGCCACGCTGCCCCACCACGTGTGCAAGCCCCGGGGTCCCCAGGGTCCCATATGCACAACGTGTATGCAACCCCAAGCCCTCACATCCACCAGTGCAAGCCCCGGGGTCCCATGTGTCCCCCAACGTGTGCAAGCCCCAGGACCCGCGTGCATCCCCACGTGTACAAACCCGGGGTCCCTCGGTATCCCCCTGTGTGTGAACTCGCGGTCCCCGTACACCCCGCGTGTGGAAGCCCCTGGGTCCCTGTACACCGTCCTGTGTGTGAACACAGGGGTCCCTCTCCCCACGCGTACAAGCCCCAGGACCCACATGCACCCCCACGAGTGTAAGCCCGGGGTCCCCGCACACACAACGAGCCCCGGTGTCCCCGTGTCCCACCCCGTGTCCTCGCTCACGTGCACGTAGAGCGCGGCTGTGGCGGGGGCGGCCGGTTCTGGGACCGGCTGCGGGGCCGGTTCCGCGGCAGGACCCGGTCCTGGTCCCGTTCCCCGTCCCGGGCCGCCCCCGCCAGGCCGCGCCGCAGCGACCGCCACGGCCGCCCTTCGGTACCCCCGCACGGCCGCCATGGGCCCACGGGCCGCGGCACCGCCCGCCCCGGGCGGGCACCGAGCGGGGCCGCCCCCGGCTGCGGGGGCCGGGGCGGGGCGAAGGGGAAGGGGAGGGATCGGGAGTGAACCCCTGCGCTCCTAACGGGACCGTGCTGGGGATGCTCGCTGTGAGTGACGGGGATGCCGGGGTCGGTGTCCTCCCCCGATGCCGGGGTCAGTGTCCTCTCCCAGTACCAGGCATGCCGGGCCGGTGTTCTCCCCCGGCACCGGGAGTGTCGGGGGATGCCCAGGCCGGCGTCTTCTCCCGGTGCCGGGGGTGCCGGGGTCAGTGTCCTCTCGCGGTGTCCTCCCCGGACACACGGTCCCGACGAAGCTGGGGCATTCCGCAACCTGCCCCCGCATCCTCCCCCGACTGCTCCACGGGGCCGGGAAGGGTTTTCCAGCGTTTCGGCGGAGGGAGCCGTTGCTTGTCCCCACGCAAGGTTGTGCAAACCCGCTGCTGACGAATCCCAACGTTATTAGTTCTTAATTTGCTCTATTAATAGCCACGGGGAAGTCCGGAATGTCCATGGCAAAGGCTGTGACCGTAGATTCCCGTTTCGCGGCCAGGAACGGTAGTTTTGTGTAACCCACCCCTGATGTAACCTTTCCGGCTGCCCGGAGTTCCCCAGAAGGCAGTGAGGACTATAAGAGCAGAACCCAGGCATGGTAAGGGCAGAAAGCCATGGTGCCTGGAGCGCTGCACACCGAGCCCATACTGCCAGTCATGATGGACAGCTCTTCCTCTACCGTGAGTATTTACAGCCGGGGCTGCATCATCCCAGAGGCTGGAATGGCCATGGGACATCTCGGCAGGTGTCCTGGCTGGCGAGGGCTGGATGGGCCCCAGGGAAGGGATGGGGATGGTAGGGAAAGCTTCCCCAGCACCAGGCTCTGCTGGGGCTCAGACCTCTGGATGATGTTGCACCACTCCTGGGACACAAATGGAACTGTGGGGTGTGGGGATGGGGTGTCAGGGGCTGTACCCGCTGTGCTGGCTGTGACTGGGGCTCACTGTGTTTCTCAGCAGTGTGCCTGCCCTCGCCAGCCAGGGCTGAGCCACCTTCATTTCTTATGCACTGCCCCCAAACTACAGTGAGCACGGGGGGCACCTCTGGGGGGCACCTCTGGGCAGCTCGGGGGTTGTGCCAAGGGTGGAGTTACCAAACAGGGATGGGAGGAGGCCTGTCCTGCACCTGGGTTAGTGCTGTGGGAAGCAAAGGAAGGTAAAAAGTCCTTCCCTAGACACCAATCACAGGGGTCCACTGCATCCCCAAGGTCACTGGCTGCAGTTGCTGTCATAGAGGTAACAGTTCCTCCCTCAGGAAGGAATGTTACAAGAGTCCTAAAACCAGGGGAGGGAGGAGACCTGAGTGAAATGTGGAGGATCAGTGCTGACACCAGCCCCACGAGCCAGTTTGGGATCAGGGGAGGAACTTGCTGGAAAGACACTGAATAGAAAGGGTCTGACACAAACCATCCATGCTTTTTTCTTTCAGGTAGCAGATACGAGCAGTGGACTTGTCCACTCGGTCTGCTTCCATGGGTAGAGCCCACAGCCCAGCTGGGAGATCAAGGACTGAGACCTCGCTGAGGCTTCCCCCTCTCTCCCTGTTGCATTATTTCCCTCCACCCACTAGAAGAAGCTGCAGCACAGAGGAGGCCCAACCTTAGCCCTGCTCGGGAAGGAAGCAGGAGGGAGACAGCCTTGGCGAGAGTTGTCAGCAACACTATCTGCTTTCCAGTTGGAGTGGGACACTTCTGCTGGCAAGGAAGAGGAGCTCTGCTCTTCCCCTTCTCGCAGGAGTGTTTCATGGTTGGGAGGTACCAAATAACTCCCGTAAAATGCTGTCCCAGGTGTGCCGTGCTTCGCACTGCCAACAGGACAGGAATTTTGGTATTTCTGCAAAAACCTTACTGTCTGTCTTGCCCAAAACAACAAAATAAACCATGCCAAGTCTACTTCGGAGAATTTTTTTGGGGGGAAACACCTGGGGGAGGTGTGGGAACAGGATAAGCTTTTCCAGCCAGCTTTAGGGAGCCCCTTCCCATGCAAAGCTTCATTCTCTGAACCCCCTGCCCCTCATTTCAAGTTCAGTAGCTGTTATTATCTGACCCCTGAGTCTCACAACACCCAAGCAGAGAAGGCATCACCTACCCTGGGAAGCCAGACCAGGGTGTTAGGACTTAAAAAATGTCAGTGAAATACCTACTAGCATATGTTCAACTCCTCTGAAATGGCTGCAGCCAAACTGCTCAGAGATACACAAGATTTTTAAATCTTCATAAGGTCTTTCAGTAACCGGACAGAATTCCAGAAATAAGCATCCCTTCCTCACACCACAGTATTTGTCCTGGCAAAGAAACAAACCCAACTGGGAAAAAAAGGCGCTCTGTTTTATTGACTAAAAGTGCCATCAGCCTGATGTCAGGGAGGGAAGGTCTCCACTGCATAGCCCAAGGCACAGGTGAAAAGCAGACTGAGAGCTGCTGGTCCTCCAGTTGATTTATCCCAGATTTTGCTCTGCCTTCCCAATCTCAGAGCCGAAGGAACTTCTCCATCTGCTCCCTCAACTTGTATTTCTGAATCTGGAATAAAGTGCAGAGAGGAGGAGGAAGAGAGACTCGGGCAGCAGCTGGGACAGGAGGCCAGAGCTCCTCCCCTGCCCCTATCCCCTCTTACCTTGCCTGAGACAGTGAGTGGGTACTGGCTCACAAACACAAAATAACGTGGGATCTTGAAATGGGAAATCTAGGAAGAGAAAAACAATGGCTACACAACCCCCCAGGAACAGCACAGCCAGCCCAGCTGGCACTGCCAGGGCTGGGTCCCCCAATGCTCTAAATCCATGGGTTTTCATCTGCCAGTCCCCAGCAGTCACTGGGTGTACTGGTCTGTCAGGGAACTGAGAATGGGAGACCCAGCAGTCACTGGGTGTACTGGTCTGTCAGGGAACTGAGAATGGGAGACCCACCTTCCCTTTGCAGAAAGCCTTCATCTCTTCCTCAGTGCAGTCCTGCCCAGCCCTCAGTCGGATGCAGGCACAGACCTCTTCTCCCATCCTCGAATCCTTCACACCAACCACCTGGTTGGACAGATGAACAGTGTGACCCCTGAGGACAGTGACAGTGTGTCCTCTGGCAGGGTCTGTGTGCTGGCCCACAGCACTGGATGCTGGAATCATGGTGTGGGGCTGTGTAAAGGCAGTTTGAGCTGCTTGACCATCCCACTGGGGCTTTCTACACAACATCGAGCCCTCCTGGAAGGAGTTCCCAACCATTTGCCAGAGGAAAGGTGGTAGAGAAAGCTGAGCACCTGGATGCCAGCACCTTCCTCCTCTGGTTTTGCAAAGTGACTGGAGCAAGGGCTGAGTCAGACCAGACCAGCTCATTGTGCCTGCGACACAGACCTGTTGTCCCTCTGCTTCCCGAAAAATGGGGCAAGAGGTTTCACAACCAACGGAGAGACTTGGTAGACTGCCATGAGTGCTTTGGGATCTCCAGATGGAGTGGCAGGGGAGGGATGAAGTTGAATTAAAGGATTATTTGAAACCTTTATAATCACAGATCTTAGTGGACCCCTGCCTGTGATACCAGGAGATGGGCTTCCCAAGCCTGAGCTCTCTCCAAAGTTTGCTCACACTATTCCACAACAATCCTACTGTCATTCCCCGCCTTGAACCAGTATCTCAAAATCCTAGAGACACGTCGATCCTTTTGAGTCCAGAGCAGTAACAGAAAGCCCTAGAAACCACATAAACAGGGCTGGTTTGCAACCCATCTGCACTGGGACTGTTCCAAGGAGAGATGCTTGCCTGGCACAGGCACAACACTGACTAAATAACCAGTTTATTTATGGGGAAACTTGTCTGGCACAAAACCTGGAGGAGAACAATCCCAGCAGACTGGGAGCAGCTGCTCAGTGCTGCAAATCATTGCTGTCTTGAGAAGGGGTGAAACAAAGTCTCACTCCTCATCTCCAGGGACTCATTGGAGCAGTCTTTTTGGATGTCAGAGTTGAGTAATTACTAGTAAAAACTGTCCTTCCAGACTGCTTTCCAAGTAAGAATTTCAGAGGGAGCTAAGTGGACAGGCAGTTTAAAACTGAAGAATGACAAGCTTGCAGATGTGCAGCTGATGCACGAGGGGACTGCCCAAATCCATGTGCCCCACTTCAGGAGCTCTACCTGCCCCTCCCATGCCATGAGCCTCTCCCTCCTCCTTGCCAACCAATATTACATGTAAGCTGATGCTGAAAACGGGAAGACAACCAGGTCCCAAGCAGCAATCCAAGAATCTCTGTGTACAGGTTTCCCAAAAAACAGCTGCTCACCTATGTCACCTCCCTCCTACTCACCTGGACCTCCTCAACCTTGGGATGGGTGTGGAGAAACTGCTCAAGTTCTGCTGGGTAGATGTTCTCTCCACCACGAATAATCATATCCTTGCAGCGGCCTATAATTTTGCAGTAGCCGTGCTCATCCAGGCTCCCGAGGTCCCTGCAATGACACCACTCTCCAAATCCTGTCCCAGCTAGGTGGAAGAATGGCTGATGCTCCCACCCAGTCAGGTTATCCAGAGGGTAAAGGCTGAGGAGCCACCTGAACACACGAAAGAGATCAAAGACTCCTGCTTCAGCCACTGGCAGGATCCACACTGCATCAGGGTTTAGGGGGGAGGCAATTCTTGCCCCTGCACTGTAGCCCCACAGTCCCTCCATCCACCAGTGGCCAAGTGATGATCCCCTTCTCCAGGGACACTCAGCACCAAGGGCTCTGTGCTAAAAGCTGTTCTGAAGTGTCACAGATAGACCAGAGGGTTAAATTAGATCAGTTTTCCTTGCTTTGGAAATCCCAGGCAAGCACTCCGATACACACCCATGTATCCCTTTCCAGTGCGGACAGTCTGGGAGGAGTGGGGCTGTTCCCAGACTCACCCTGTCTTGTACCACCTCTCAGCAGTGATCACTTCACTTGTCT